AAAAAAATGGCGTGTTAGGTTTAAAGAGATTTTTGATAATTTCATTATAACGTACCAAAAATTCTTTAACAAAAATCTAATCAAGTACTAATCCAATAATATAACAATTAGAGGCGGCACCTAAAACCTTATTAAGGCAAATATAATATAGTAATTGTACTTTGTACAGTTATCAAGACTAGGCTCATGTATAGGTTTCCAAACAACATTGTGAAAGGGCGGGGTTGAAATTTCTCGAGAAAATAGACAAATCAATGACTTTACTGCTCATCATCTATAATATGAGTGGATCTGCTTGTTCTTTCATTGCTCAGCCATTTATCTTCTGTTCATTCTGATCTTGAGATAAGACAAACAATTAAAGGAAAATTTAACAAAATTGAAGAGCATTAAAACAGAATATGAACCAAAATTTTGGAAATTTCTTTTAGATTACAGACAATTTACAAGCAACTGATATGAATAGCTTTTGTTTAGTTTCTAGAATCACAACCTCTGAGATCATCATAGATCATAAAAGAAATCACAGACGTTGATACAGAACAACGAGAAATCAAGAACTAAAACTCCAGAAACAAACGAATCGGAGGCAGAAAACGGACGGCTAAGATTTATTCTACAGCGATCCTCGTGATCAAAATCCTATTGAGCAGAGGAATCGGCGATGGCAGATCAAGAGCGAGGAATCGGAACAGAGGCCTGGTGAAGGAGCTGCTGGGCGCGGGCGAGCTGGTCCATGAGAGAGACGATGCGAGCGTGGTAGGAACGCGCCTGATCGACGGCCTCGGCCTCGAGCTCGCCGAGCTGCGAGCAGAGGCGTTCCTCGGCCTCCTCGGCGACTCTGAGCCTGTCCCAGGTTCTAAAGAGCTCCGATTTCATCTGCTCCTCTCTCTCCTGGCTCTCTCTCAGCTCCCTCTCCAGCTCCTCGTTCCTCTTCTTCAGAGCTTCTCCTCCGGCGACGGCGACGGCGACCTTTTGCTGCTTCGTGACAGCCATTGTTGAGAGCTTCGATAATTGTGGGAGATTTTACTCGGAAGAAGAGAGATATAACTGGAATGTTTGTGTTGCGTTTGGTTTGGAGAACTCAAACGGTTTATATAGCGGCAAAAAGCTATGTGTCCAGGTTCAATGTATCTGTAGTGCCCTTGCGATTTCGCTTCGCTGACGTATTGGCTTGTGTTTTTTTTGTTCTCTGATATTTGCGCTTCTGTTATTAACTTATTAAACTAGAATATTCCCTCTCTGTAAGTGTTTCGGTTGGCAAATATTAATTTTATACTTACAAATTCACAGTTCCCCTGAAAAAAAATATAAATTATTTACAAGACTAGTATTATTAATTTAAGATTCTGTTTATTTAATCGATTC